GTTTGTGCAAGAGTATGTTTCCCAAAGCACAGGATATAAAGTGTGTGCATTTAGTCAGGAGAGGCTATGCTATGCCATGGTAGCAAGTAAATCAAGTAGTTTAATATAACATGTTCAGTTCCTGCTCATGTAAAGTCTGTTGCAGGTCTGGGTAACTTTTATGGCAACTGTCCCCAATGTGGTGATTCAATAATACAGGATGCTTCAATCTTGTGGTTCCACCATTTCAACGTTAAGTGCTCCTCCTCTGCTACAGAAAGGGCTTGCGAAAGACAGAAGAATTTCTTAGGAGTATTTCACTGCCTCAGCCCATATGTGATACACATCACTTCTGCTCCTATTTCTTCAGCCAATGTTAGTCATATGACTTCACGTAACTGCCTAGGGGCTGGGAAGTAATAGCTTCCCATACATCCAGGAAGGAAAGAAAGAATGGATATTCTTAAGGATATTGGTGAGTACTGTCTCCCACTGTATGCAAGATAATTTTAAATGGTACAGAGTTAAATTTTTACAATTTTTGTTTGGTTTCTCATGTATTTGAAAAATATAAATTGCACATCAAGCTTATAAGGTAATGGTTTCATTGGTTTCATTTTATATAGATTTAAAGTTTGTTTTTGTTTGTTTGTGTTTGTTTTTTGGCAGCTTTCTGGTTTGAGGAATCCAAATCCTTAACCTTGGTGTTATCCCAAGTGATTTAACTGACCAGCCCTAAATTTAACTTAAATTTTAATTGCAGATACTATGCTATTATAATAAAAATGGTGAGTGATAGAGTTTGAGTGTTTTCTTCTCCTAAAACTCATGTCAAAATCTGATCCCCACGGGGCCGGCCCGGTGGCGCACTGCTATAGTGCGCCACTTGGGAAGCGCGGTGGCACTCCCGCCGAGGGTTTGGATCCCAAATACAGACTGGCCGCTCACTGGCTGAGCGAGGGGCGGGAGCAACACCGAGGGTTGCGATCCTGTTGCCGGTCCCGGTCCGGTACAGGGCAACACTGAGGGTTGTGATCCGTTGCCGGACACAGAAAAAGGAAAAAAAAAAAAAAAACAATTAAAAACTTTTGTGTTCTACTTTAAAGGACATTACTGAGAAAGTGAAAAGATAACCCACTTAATGGAAGGAAATATTTGAAAATCTCATATCTGATAAAGGACTTATATCCAGAATATATAAAGAATTCAACAATAAAAAGACAAATAACCCAATTAAAAACTGGGTTAAAGATTTGTTTGTTTGTTTGTGGCTAAAGAATCCCCAACTTGGCAATGTTAGGAGCAGTTTGGGTTATGGGAGCGGATCCCTCATGAGCAGATTAATGCCCTGTGGGGGGTGGGGTGGATAGTGAGTGAGCTCTCACTATATTAGTTCCCACAAGAGCTGGTTGTTTAAAGCACCCTGGCACCTCCCCACTCTCTCTCTGCCATGTGATCTGTTTGTACCCATAGGCTGCCTGCCTCTTTCCACCACAAGAAGCAGCAGCCTGGGGCCTGTGCCAGATCCAGCTGTCCCAGAATCATAAGCCAAATAAACCTCTGTTCTTTATAAATCACTGAGTCTCAGGTATTCTGTTATAGCCACTCAAAAACGGACTAATACAGTGAATGTGGCAAAGAGATATCTAATGTTTGGATAAAACTGGCATAAAGGAATCTCTGTAAAACTCAAGTCTTAGTATATAAAACTTCAGGCAAACCAGACATATGCAGTGGGGTGTAGGAATCGGCTCTTTTAATAAGTATACTGCGGGGGCTCAGGGGCAGTGGGACCCAAACCTCCCAGTAGCCCCTTTTATCCCCCCGCCATGGGATGAACAAGAGAGGGAACTGGTAGGATCACTCCTGCCACCCTAGTAGCCAGGAGAACCTGGGAGGAAGGTGAGGATGCCACCCACCTATTCAGCCCCACAGAGAGACACTCAGACGGGGCAGGGGTTCCATGAAGCAGTTCCGTTTATTTTCACACAAGCACCTGCTTTTATAAGCATATGGCAAGAGGATTTCCTAACTTCAGCCTATCATCTTAAAGGTCCTGTGAACACGCATCTTGCTCTAATGCTTTGCTATTGCAGTCATGCAGTGAGCACGAGCGTGGAAATATCTTTTATCCAATAATTTTAAACTATGTCTTTCCTTGGTCACTCCCCAGTGGCTTCCATCAGGTGCCATCTTTATCTCTCCTGTCCAGGAGAACGTTTTTTTTTTTTTTTTGTCTTTTTTTGTGACCGGTACTGGTAAGGGGATCGCAACCCTTGGCTTGGTGTCACCCACACCGCGCTCAGCCAGTGAGCACACCGGTCATCCTTATATAGGATCCCAACCCGCGGTGGGAAGGCCGCCGGGCTCCCAAGCGCTGCACTCTCCCGAGTGCGCCACGGGGTGGGCCCGGGGCGAATGTTTTCAACAGATTACATACGCGTATGTGGGTGGGGTCGTGGCTAGTTCTCTGCCCCAGGAGGAGGTGTGTGGCCTCAATGCCCCAACAGTATGCTATGTGATTTAGCAGCCGATAGTCTGGGACCACCTACCAAGAAGAATTGTTCCAGAGGGCAGTAGCCCCTCTGCTGTTAAAATTGGGTAACCAGTTACAGAACCCACTATGGGGGAGCCTAGAATTTCTGATGAGCTCCCTATTTCCCTTTTCCCCCTCACTACTGGATTGAGATTATTCTTCAAACAATGAGATGACGAGTAACAACGGGGGGTTTTGGAATGAGATCCAGCAAGCACCACCTTCAGAATTTGCCATTTCTCTTCTAATCCAGTTTTCCATGTTTCTATGATATTAATCAGACTGGTAGCCTGGCTACTATCAAATTAAATACAATAATATCTCCAGACACTTATGCTAATCTCAAAGCTCTTCGGTCCACTAAAGCTCTTCACTCATGGTTGATGCTAAGTCATTTTTTTTTTTTTTTAATTTCATGTTTCACAAAGGTATTTAGAAATTTCTCCTGACCACTGTGATTTTGATGTCCTGATTTATATGTAATATTCTTGGCTTATATGTAATTATTAATAGAAGCCTCTTTTACTTTCAAAAAGTGTCTTGGTTGAGTAAGTTATATGGTGACCCTGCTCCTGAGGATTCTTATTCTTATATTTTATGATGTGCATGACTAATTTGGTCCCAAAGACTCTTCATTCCAATACTAATGTCTAAAGCCACATGGGGAACCTGAGGTTATGGAATCCTGGATGTTTAGTTTTTTTTAAGTCATTTCTTGGCATCATCGATATGTTTTCTATAGGATAGAGAGAAAGAGAAGGACACATAGAGGAGTTAAAGGAAATAAGCAAGGACATTTTTGACTGACAAGTCAAAACACATTTTGAGGAACCCAGAAAACCTATTATTCTGGAATGTACAGTACTTCAAAATTTGTTCCTAACCTAATTAGAAAGATGATGTAAAGCGGAAGATGAATTTTGGCATTTAAAACATTTGTTCCCCCATTGACATTTAATGGTGTGAATTTTGTGTTCTAATGAAAGTTTGTGATGTCTTACACTGCCTCAATTCCACAAGAGACTTAGGACAGGCACTGTGCAAACAGAATTTCAGTTCTATCAGAGTAGCCATATATTTGTAATAGACGTTACAGGCACCACATTTACTTTTTCCAGAATCCTACCATTAGATAAAACATATAAAAGCTGCTATTTACTATCTAGTTACTTCAATTATGGAAGAAAGTAAAAGAGGATTTAGAAGGTACAATATAGCATATTTAGATCTGTAGCTCATCAGACTGGCTTTAAAAAAATGCAAGTGACTACAAAGACCACCCCAGGTTAAAAGTCTCTAAATACTTCATGTTGCTTTACTGTTAAATAATGTTTAGAGTGTGTTATCTTTTGTAGACCTTGGAAATCTAATTATTTATAATATCCAGTGACATTTACATTTTGCTAAATACACTCTGTTTGTACAAGAACATATCATGCTTAGAAAAATGGGTAAAAAAATTCCTGGCTTGTACATTTGCTTATATATAATGCAAAATATCAGGGTGACTTGGGTTATCTTTTTGTTATAATTACACGATTGAGAAAACATAATTCTCGAAAAGTATGCTTAGCCATTACCATTTAAAATACAGGATAAGAAAAAGTTATCATAGTTGAGATCATTTGTTTACCATGTAACTGTCAACGATCACATCAAGTATCTATACAAGTTTATTGGTATCTTAAAATAATACCATTCATTTCCATGCCACCAGCTCCAGAGTATTTGGTTTAGTTTTTGAGATTGATTGAAAGAGATTGGAAAGTTCACCTATTGTGTTAAGCTTATTTACACAAACATTGTGTCTCAGAAAATAAACTCTGAAAGTGCATAGTGGTTGAACCCTAAGTATTTTCTAATACCTGCTTACAGGGATCCATTGGGTAGAGAATCTCAACTTTACCTAGGAGAAAATTATTTAAAAATTTAATTATTCTTAAATTTGAAGTGAAACTTATGACTTGCTTTAGGGAAAAAATAAAAATAAAGCTTTTAATTTGATTCGAAGAATTTGCCTAAGCAAATAATTTGTTAGTTCTAACACATCTATGAAACAGTAATGGATGTCATTTTTTTTTTCAGGCTCTCAAAATATATTTTTCTTAAAAGAGTTAAAAATAACATTTCTAAGATGGAAGCAATTAAAAAAAAAAAAAAAGCTTAATTGTGAAAAGACCTATATGGAAGCAGTGAAAAAATCAATTTGGGTACTGAATGGTTACAAATAGATTGTTTAAAAAATGAAAGTGTATTTATTCAAGCATTAATCTTGATGAGTGAGCATTAAAAACCCTTCCTGATGCCACATTCTTGTCTGTTATGTACTCTTAAATAATCAGCCTATTATATACCACCCCCCCTCACGAATCCGCCCTCTCCCCTATCAGCACACGGACTTCTCTCTTGCCTCTGAGTAGCGGGGCTGGTTATAAGCGGGAGGGAGTCAGGGAGGGAGGGAGGGCAGGTGGACCAGAAACACCTCCTAGAAACAGCAAGTACGCTGCTCAACCCTGCCTGAACTTTCCTGTAAACAGCGCACTGACAGAAGGCATCCCTGCTGGGTGGATCCTGCGACTCCTAGAGGGAATGGCACTTCTTGTTTTTAATTAGCGAGGTGAAAGGTGAATTAAAACTAGCTGTTTGGCAAGTCAGTGCAAGAGGCTGACTTAGAGAGCAGAAGAGAAGAGCTCCACGGGGGAAGGCAGTGCGTGTGCTTGGGGTTTTTTTGTTTTTGTTTTTTTCCTGAATGAACCGCTTGCCGAAGTGACTATAAAATACAGCTTCTTCCTGAATCTACAGGCTTAGTCACTGAAGAGAGCTCTAGATAGGACACGGCTCTGTAGACTCACTCCTTGGAATGTCCTCTTGCTCCCGGCTTACAAACAACCGTCCGGAGGAAAGAAAGGCTTTACAGATTCAAATACAGCCTGACAAGTGGCAATTTGGAACTGTGCTTTCTGATGACAACGCGTTCCATTTCTTACAAAGCCTCTCGCACGCTGCCCCTGGAGGGAAGTCCTAAGTAAAACTCAAAGCCACCTTAAAGTGAGGATCGGAGGGCTTGCAGGGTGAGCGCAGCAGCATGGCATCCGCTGGGCACGTTCTCACCTTGCTCCTGTGGGGATACTTATTGGAGCTTTGGACAGGAGGTCACACAGCTGATGCCCCCCATCCCCGGTTACGCCTGTCACATAAAGGTAGGTTACCTTTCCAGATCCTTTTGTTTAAAAAGAAAAGAAAAGAAAAGAAAAAAAGTCACATAACATACGTTTATGGTCTTCAAAGACCCTTCAAATGCACCTGAAATTTTTTTTGCAGAACTGACCTAAGATTCTAAGTGCCTGTAATTAACATGTCATACTTACCTCATCTGAAAATGGTGCAAAATCGCGTGCCAACTTAGAGATGTTATTTTGTCTTGTAAATATTAGATTTTATTAATGAGAAGTTCACTCACTAGGGGATGGAACAGAAGAAGGTAGGAAGCAGGTTGTAAATAGCCTTGAGAGGCTGAATCCACCAAGTTAGCAGTAGGTATTTAAATACCAATTTTTGCATTATGGAAAACAAAGGTGTTGAGAAAGGGCTTTATAAATAGGCGTGCAATTTGCTTTTTGGTTGTTTTGTTTTGTTTTGTCTCCATAATGGGAATGAGAGAAAGAGAGAGAGAGAGAGAGAGAGAGAGAGAGAGAGAGAGAGAGAGAGAGATTCCTGAGGATTAAAATGATTCCCTGCCTATGACAACAAAGTCACCAGCAATTAAAATGACTAAGAACTAATGTAAGTTAGCTACTCAGTTGAAGTGATTATTAGAATTTTTTTATGTGTGGTAAAACAAAATACAGTTTATTGGCAATTCTGTAAACTGACATATTGATTAATGTATTATTGCTCACTAGCATCTTTTTAATGTAAATTCATACTGCTTTACTGAAGATTTATTAGAGAGCATTTAAATATTTTATTCTGCAATTATGTCTTGTAAAGCAACACCATACTCATAAATAAATGATCAAAAGATAGGTTTTGCATCTGGACCGGTAAAAGCCAGTCATGAATAGGTTTAGTTATTCCTACTGTAAACAAACAAACAAACAAACAGAACCCAAACTCTGAGAAAGTGACTTTGCTGACTTAAAAGAAATTTGGAGTAAATTATCAGGAAAGAAGTATTTATTATCATCAACCATTGAGAAAGATAACAGATGCAATAATGAGGATTACATAAGAATCATTTTTCAATTGTTTAAACTTTTAAATTGTACCCCACTGTAGGAAAAACAGAAGCTTATATTTTCTAAATATAGATAGAATATTTACCAGAAGGAGAAATAAAAAGAGACCTCAATGTTATATGACATAATTGGCCTTTTTGTCTTTTCATTGGATAATCATCATCAATAAATGTTGACTATAGAAATTTCTCATTTTTAGAAGAGTTAAAACTATGGATATGTTCTTAGTTTAAATAGATTTCCTATAACACTATCCAGTAGCTAATATAAATTTAAGAATCACATTGATAATAAATTTGTAAAATATTTAGAATATAGTAGCCAGCATTAGCACAAATCTTTTGATACAGGAAGATGTATCATGCTATGTATCAAAATGTCTATTTCTAGGAATGTCTGACCAATACATCAAGATGTAAAAAATTCGATGCGATGGAATAGGGACAAATAAGAAAGTCAGAAGAAAACATTATAAATTGGTTGCTTTTCTTATGTAGGCAAGTGGATAAGCTGCCAGTTTTGGCAAGCTACCATTCTGTTGTGCCTAGTATTAACCTTTCACACCTCATTAACGGGGTACTTGTTTTTGGATAGCTCAATGTCAGCATGTTTCCCAAGGTGTCTCATGTTAATATTTCATAAGAAAGCTTATAACTTGGTTAGAGTATACCAAAACTCTCTGACACAAGTAAATGCTATGTGTAGTATTGTTATGCTCATCTTCACCTTGTCTCTCTTAATCAGACAAATAACTGTTAACTGATTTTGGTTTGCATTATACAGTGTGCAAGTAGAACTGCTGGTATCTATGTGTACATTAGACTGACAACTCCCACAAGATGTCCCTTTGGCTTTTTTTAACCTTTTGATTTAATGGAACCAGATGTATATGCACAATATTATGCTTTGATACGAAGACAGTATAGAGTTACCTGAAAAAAGAACGTTAGCTGTGCAATTTAGTTAGCACAGTCATCCAAGAGATCACACCGGAGCAACAAACATCTACTACACCACAGGTGCCTCAGTGAAAAGAAAAGCACACATACTCTCAGAGCAGAATATTCAGTACCACCAATATAATGTGAATAGCCCATTTACCTCTCTACATTCTGGTATTCAGTGGGCATTTTAGAGATATTTAAAAACCAGGAATAAGATACTTCAAATTAATTTTTTGCTGTCTTGAATGATGCCAGTAATGATAAATTTTCAATAGCGGGTGAATTTAGATAATTAATATTATAAATGACTGCACAGTCCTTCAAAATAAGAAGCACTGGCTATATGTAATATAGCACCTCTGCACTGCTGCCTGACCCCAGCAGGGAAATCCAGTGGCTCCCTGGAGGTGGCCTACTGGATTAATACAAGGATTCATTTCTTGGCAGTGGTTTATGCCATATGGGAGAAAGGCAGGCATTTTTCTTCTATCCTCCACTTTCAAGAAGGCTTTTGAGAACACAAAACTAGTTTCTCTTCCTAAGAAGGAGGAGAAAGTTTGTGCCATATACAAAGCTTGAGTTAACTTATAAAAAGATATGTTCGGAAAAAAAATATCTGGAGAATTGCCCTTTTCCTCTTTCCTCTATTCTCTTTTATTTCTGGAAATGACATGTTCTTAAATAGAGCTTGAGAGAAGGAGACCATTAGGATTAAAGAGGAGAAAGGGCAGAGAAGGAGGGAGCCACCGTAAAGAGATAGTGTGAGAAATGGAGCATCATTTAGCTTATTTCCCACGGCCCTCCACTCATAATGGGGTGTTATTGAATTCCTTCCTTTTCTTACTGAATATCCCATCCCACCCTAAAATTAGGAAAATATACTAACTTAATGCAAGCCTAGAGGGTAAAAAGACAGTATGATTATTCTTGTTATGGAAATACATATATCTTTTCATGTGTTTTATAGGTACAAAGTAAATTGGGTTAACAAATAAAGATATAGCAAAGATTAAAATGGCAGGATGCTGTCCTGTTCTGTAAGGATTTTCAGTCAAGATCTGAGTGGAGATGAATGACATACCAGGCAAATATTTAAAAGTTTATGAATAGTGATGCATTATAGCTAACTTTATCCCAGCTTAAAAAGGTAATATTGGTGTGATTAAGGCAAAATTATAATATTCTGCCACAATGGTTTCCTTGAAAAATAGCTATGATCCTTGACAGAAATCAAGGAAAGAGAAGGATGGGAGAAGAATCCTGGTGGGTTCAGCCACTTCCTTCTGTTATCTGTTCTCTCCTCTCTTTCACCATGCTGCATTAATGAGGTTACAGGGACAGCAAAAAATAATCTTCTTAGAACTCAAAGAAGAAAAAACAAATAAGCAAAGACTCATGTCAAAGAAGAAATCTGAATGCATTTGAAAAGCCCTGGAAATTCAATCAAATGACCTGGGCAGATGAGGTAGGTGTTTGAAGTCCCAGTAAGGAAGTATGCAATGACAGAGTCAAAGGAGAATGGCTGCTTAAGCATTAGGATAATTGGTGAAGACACAGTTAAATAAAGGTATGGATATGGCAGAAAATCATTTCCAAAATATGTTGACATTATAAATGTAGACTTAAGCATAGAATATATACCCATACATATAGAACATGTGATAGTTAGTGTTAATTAGTGTGTCTGAATCTCGATATTACAACCAATTAAATACAGATTTTTCATAACTCAGAGAGCTCAGGATTTGAAGTCAAGGGTCTCTTCTCCAGCTCTAAGTCTCTTACTTATAATCATGGAAATTGTCTGTACTTCAGTTTCCCCACTTTGAAAATAGAGATAGAAATGGTGCTTTCTCTGTATGTTTCACTGGGCTTTTGAGAAGGTCAAATGGAACAACAATATGTATGAATGCACATTATAACCTAAAAATTATTTATATTATTAATGTTTCCTGAAGACTGATAAAATTGACAACGTTGGAAGAAAACATGTCCTAAAGAGAAAAACCCTTGGGAACGGCCTGGGTTTATATTTCAATAAGTGCCGGGATAATTGTAATATAGAAGACAGAAGTTGTTGATGTTAAATAACATAAAAATATATAGTTTATCCTGATAGATTGCATTCACTCCAAACCTCATCTTTTATTACTTTGACGACTCATTATAATAATTTAAGAGATAATTACATCATCGGTGTTTTTTCCAAGATTTGTGGCCAATATTTTTTGCTGTAAAAGTGCGTGTATATTCATTTAGTACACATATTCACTGCATAGCACATTTTAGAACTATTTTTATTTATAAGAAAAAAGTTGACATAGAATTCTAGAAGAGCATAATGCTAAGTAACAGTTTTGAACAATCATCCTGGAGGCTGTGGTATTTATTTCGTATTCAGAGCAAATAAAAAATGAGGCAGTGACTGAGCCAGTTTTTCCTGACCCAGTTCACAGTTGTGGTTCCTCAGCCAGTAACTAGGTATTATCAATAGCGACAGTAGTCACACATCCTTGTGTGTTAATAAATAAAAACTGGTCATAAGGCATGATTCATCAACAGAGAAGTTAAATAGGACTCAGGAGTAAACACTAACCTACATGCCCAGAACTCTGTCAGAAAAAGTGAGAATTAAATGGTGGATTTATTAAGAAACAAAAAGTTTATATTAAAAAAATAAAGTCACTGGGTAATATGTGAAAAATTACAATATGCTTCATTGAGTATGATTTACACAGAATATACTTTCTGTAGAGGAAGTCTGTGTAAGGACTTTAGACAAAGCTATTTTTTGTATTTTGATATTTGCTACAGATAAATATTGCCCATGCATCACATCAGTGCATCTGAATATACAGAAGTCCCTGAGTGGTTGTATAAATTATTCAGTTCTTATCTGGATGTTGCATATTGCAGTGGGGAAACAGTTATCCTTTCGTATAGAATTAGGGTGAGGGGAGGTCGGGGCTATGAAAAGCAGTAAATAGAATTTATTATTGAACTGGATCAATTTTGGAC